CCCCCCCCCCCCCCCTACACCACCATCTGGCCCGAGGAAAAGCAACAGGTGACAGCTGACTCATCAGATTAGTATTTTCCGAAAGCAATAAATCTCATGTCAGTCATAAATTGATTTTTTAATCTTCAAGCAATCCCTTTTTGATTACTTTAACACCTTTTCAGGCATAAACTACCGGAAAGGGAAGTGATTTTCGATCGAGAATAATATTTGGGGAGGGGAGGCAAACTGCGCAGTTGTCAATTGATAAAGAAGCATTTATTTTAATAGTGCTCCAAAGTGTTATTTGAAATGTTTTGAAATTTTTTAACGCCGCTAAAAAGTTTCCTTTAAAAAGTGGAAGTAATTTTACCGGATATTTTTTGGTTTTGATCATAGTAAGACTTGTACGGAACGGGTCCCTCTTTTGGCAACGCTGCATTTCTCAATCTTGTAAACAAAAAACCTACCAGGTGAATGACCGTGAATCCCTGATAAGTGATAACACTGCGAGACTTTAATCAGTTGACGTACCACCGAAAAATTCAAATTTATTTAAATCTCAATCGGCCTCTGAATGTGCGAGTATTTAAAGTCCTACTTTTTTAGGCGAGAAGTCCTTGTGAGGCTTGTTTTTTGTGAAAGGAGGAACATAACCTGCACGTATACAAACCATCACAAAAAATGCGTTTCATAGCCCAGCACATCCACAGTTTGATCAAGGGTTCCGGAAATTCCAATCGTGCGCTTGTGAGGTTGATTAGCAGTTCGGCGATCAATTATAACATGGAATCAAGTGAAGCTTTAGTAGAAGGGAACGAAATCATCGCCCAGTCATTGAAAGCACAGGTTTGCATTTCAGTTTTCTATCATGTCCAGGTGTTGTTGTCTGGCAAATCTTCCGTTTCATCACTATTTGGTGTGAATTTATGTTTTTAAGTCCCTGAGTGTAACTCTCCAATCGAAAGTCCAACATTTACTGACTCTTTGCTAGAGTAGTTATTCCTCAGTATCTTTCAACAATGTTTGAATTTATGCCAGGCTGAGTGTCGAGGTGTCTTCATGGAGCCGAGGCAATGGTGGAACTGCCATCATGCTCCCTAATGTTGGACTGTACTCCTTGACTTGTAAGGAGGACATATATCATATTCTTGAAAGACCTAGTGCCTGTCTGATAAGCCAACGGTGAGTCATATTGATGAACAACATTGATGCTAACCGAGCTTGGAACATTTCGGAGTATGACCAGTTGAGCTCTGTTGCTTCTGGTCTGCTGCTGGCAGGAACGCACACTATTATTGTTCCTCGACTTATTTACAAAGCAGCCGAGCAGTGAAAACAGACTATCAGACTGCTTCCTGATAGCTATGTCCCACCTCCACCCTGTCACCCTTTAGAGTTGATAAAGTATTGCAGCGGCAGGTCATCTACAGCCATAGTGACAGATTTTTATGGGTCCTGGAAAAATTGTTATGGCTGAATTGAACCTGGGACCTTATTGTTGGCAGTGAATTATCTTAACTACCTATCCTCCACAGCTAGCGTCAATAATCTAAATTGTCATATAAAAATGAAATCATCTCTTATCTTCAGAGAAAAAAAGTGTATGATCTATTCTAAAATAAATATTTGGTTCTTTTAATATTATGTATCAGGTCTAAATTTACCATATTGTCTTGGATTTCTTCGTAATTTACAATCGGCTGACACCAAAGAGACGTCAGACTGATATTAGGTTACGGTCAAACTGACACCATAGTGTTATCGGAGTTACACTGATATTGGACTGATTTGCTCCATGAAGTAGTTTGATGCCAGACTGAGACTGAAGAGGTTTTCTTTTTTTGATCGGTAGATCTGCCTAAATCCACCGATGGAAATCCATCGGCCGCCATTTTGGTACGAAATTGCCCGCGATCAGTCGGGAGTTTAAGAACACACTTTCCACCAATGTAAACAAATGAATTTCTTCCTCTCATCAAACCTTTACCGCAATGATACTGCAATAGTGCAAATATATACTCAATGTACCAGCATTAACTCCTTTTTTGCTACAAATAAAGTACGGGGGAAAATATCACTAAAAATATTACATAATTCAATACATAGGCGACAATGACGATCCAAGCAGAATCATCAGACTCAGCGACGGCGGGAGGCGCGAAATACTCACGATTTCTCGTTTGTTTGCTTGTTTTTGGCCTGAGATCTGGCTGAAGTAAAATTAGGTTGTCCACCGGTGGAGCTGTGATCGGAGAAATGACCGATCACTCCGATCACTGATCGGTGGTACCAAATCCACCGGTCGTACTTCCACCGGTCGTGACGTCAGCACCGACGGATCAATTAACGAACACAGTTTGGTGATCGGCGGTACCACCGATCAAAAAAAGAAAACCCCTTGAGAGGTGAGTGATTCACCTTCACCAAGTTTCAGTTTACAATTACTCAGGTAGAGGAAAATAACTTCTCTTCATTATTTGGGAATGAATCTTTCAAATAACAGAGGTCTCTTCTTTTCTTTTTTCAGGGTGTGAAGTATGTTTTTGGAATCGTGGGAATCCCAGTGGTTGAGTTGAGTTTAGCGCTGCAAGCTGCTGGCCTTCATTATATTGGAATGAGGAATGAGCAAGCTGCGTGTTATGCAGCGCAAGCTATTGGATATTTGACCAAGAATCCTGCTGCCTGTCTTGTTGTACCAGGTCCTGGCTTGCTTCATGCATTCGGAGGCATGGCAAACGCACAGATCAATTGCTGGTGATTATTCATTATTTTTTTCCAATAGGATTTACTTCGGTTCTGAATATGTTAAAATGATTTTTTTTAAAATTCATTAATTTCTCAGCGCTCAATTGCTCACTGCTTAAAGGTCCTCAAAAAATTTCCGTACTTACATCAACGTGGTACATACTTAATGGGCCTGTTGCAAACTTTTGCTAGAGCAAAACTAAGAGTTGTTTCTTATAGATAATGCCTCAAAAATCACGATGAGCGCATCGGCAAACTCTGAAATGCACTCATAACTTCACAATCTGCGTAAGAAATTTGCGGTTTTTTGAGCTTCCCGCTTCAAAAACGATACTACGGCACAGGTGAACATTTTGTAAGAGGAGTCATTCCATCGTCGGCAATAATCATCATAGCCGACGCCAATCCGCTAAAACACGTTTGATGGGACGAGATAACACCTGAACTGGATTAGACCAGATAACAATCGGTGTGTTAACGTTCATATTTTCCACGCCCGAATGGATTGACCTTGAACTCTCCTTGAATTACGCGCGGAACTGCGTGCAAGCGTCGGCCATGATGAATATCGCCGACGATGGAGCGACTCCTCTAACAAAATGTTCACCTACGCCGTAGTATCGTTTTTGAAGCGGGAAGCTTAAAAAAACGCAAATTTCTTACGCAGATTGTGAAGTTATGAGTGCATTTCAGACTTTGCCGATGCGCTCATCGTGATTTTTGAGGCATTATCTACAAGAAACAACTCTTATTTTTGCTCTAGCAAAAGTTTGCAACAGGCCCATTGTTTTAATGGCACCTCAGCAATGCAGACGCTGCAATGGCACCTCAGCAACTCAGAGCTTGCGAGTTTTACTCAGCAGATCACTGCAAGCACACTTTAATGCAGCACCAAAGATAGTGAATTTCAATTTATGATAGTGGCAGGTTCCCTCTACTGTGGTGGGGAAACATCTTTTCAGCTACTTGTGTCTGATATTCTTAATTAGCTAAACCAGCGAAAATACTGCTACTTTGGCCCATCCTAAGCATTTTCAAGACCAAGTGAATCAAAAATTGCAACGTTGCTAATCTTCACACATGTTTGATATTGTTACAAAGTAAAATAAGTAACGTTTTCTCTTAAAATTGTCCTCGAATTTTTCTCACTCTTCGAAAAAGAAGACTAACAGATAATTACAAGCAGATATTTTGGTTAGTTTCTCTCTAGGAAAATGAAACATCAATGGAACTTTTTAAAAGTTGCAATGGCTGTATTATTAATTTACCATTTTTTCCCATTGTTATTCAATGCATCTAGCTAGTGTACTGGTGTGTTTTAAAATTTCATGTAAAAACTGTAATTTTAATCGTGAATTTTTTTTTGCTTTAATTTACCTTTCAGCAGTTTGTACCTAGTACCATGCCACTACAGACTGAATTGAATTGGGACTAATATTTTAAGTTTTTTTACCTTTTGATAAATTTTATGTTTGTTTGTTCACACCGTTTTGCAGGCCAATGATCGTGCTTGGTGGCTCTTGTCCTGGTGATCATGAAGGCATCGGAGGTTTTCAAGAATGCAGACAAGTAGAGCTAAGCCAGCCTTACTGTAAATACAGTGCGAGGCCTCCTAGTGCTTCTCTCATTCCACTTCATGTGGAGAAAGCTGTCCGTTTATGTAAATATGGTCGACCAGGTAATTATGATCTTCTGGATCTACCTCCCTGACTTGAATGCTCTTTCTTATTTTGCTAGAATTATTGCAATTCGTGTGCCTGTGAAAAAGTTGGAAGGCCTTAAAAACGAGGGAGCAGGGAAAATTTTTAAATGTCAAAAGAAAAAGAAGAGATACGTCATCAATTTTGACATCGGTGGAAAATTTTATGAAAAACCGATGAAAAAAGAGGAAAGCTGGTTTGCCGATGTATGAAAATTTAAAAGCTTGGAAAATTCAGCACTTGTTTATCACATTTCATCCCAAAGCTGAAAGTTAAATCCTTTTCCTCTCATTTATGACACAAAATGATGTCAATTGTATTTTTTCAGAGTATCTTGTTGATATTCCCCTAATTTGACTTTAATTCATTCTCTCTTCAAAAATTTTCAAGGTGTCTCATACTTAGATTTTCCTGCTAACATCCTATCTCAGCAAATCCCCGAGAATCGGGTCGTTTCCGTACCTCAGTGCCCAGAACCACCAGTATCATGGCCAGATCCAGCATCCATTCAAGAAGCAGTGAAAGTGCTAAAACAGGCCTCTAATCCGCTTGTTATTATTGGCAAAGGTAATTTTCTCACTAATTCATCTTGTATTTGACTTGATGTCTTACTTAAGAATGTTTTAATTAAAAAGAGGCAGTCCCATTTTCCATAGGAAATGGCCACAAGAGATTTTCCATCCATACTTTCAGGAATCATAAAGGATCATTGGAGAGCCCTAAATCCGGTTACCTTTTCCGTCTAGCCCTCCAAGGGGGGAGGGGGACGGGGTCAAAGGTCAAATTCACAGACCGCCATAACTTTTGAGCAAAGCAATGGATTAACTTGATCTTGGGCTCAAATGAAAGGTCTTGTTAAGAGCTTTAATTGGAGCCCAAGATCAAGTTGATCCATTGCTTCGTTCAAAAGTTATGGCGGTCTGTGCGTTTAACCTTTGATCTCCTCCCCCTCCCCCCTTGGAGGGCTAGACGGAAAAGGTAACCGGATTTAGGCCTCTCCGATGATCCGTTATGATTCCTGAAAGTATGGATGGAAAATCTCTTGCGGCCATTTCCTATGGAAAATGGGACAGCCTCTTTAGAATTGTCTAACTTTTGAGGGAAAATGAACCAATGGATAAGGTGTAAAATTAAGCATTCTGCCATGACATTTTTGTTTGGCATTTTTTGAAGCATTTTTATCCTAAAATGTTTATAGAGCACTTCTCTATGTTGTGGTATCAATGACTCAATCCTAAGTTTTTGTGGTCTGTGGTCCTTTTCGACAGTCCATGCATGAAGATCCAGGATCTCAAGTCTTGGGTCTTCTTTAAATTTTCCCTAAGAATACTAAAAAGGTGATTGAAGCAAGTACACCCTTAGATACGATTCAGATATTTCTCTGTTGAGAGTTTTAGCAGTTTTTCCCTATTTCTGTAATCTTCTTTTGGTCATGCATCCATTTGATGGTAAATCAGTAATATATAAATACTATCTTTGTTTATTTGCAGGTGCTGCCTATAGTCATGCTGAAAAGGAAGTCAGAGCCCTTATTTCCAGTTTCAATTTACCATTTTTAGCGACACCTATGGGGAAAGGAGTGGTCTCTGATAATGATCCTAACTGCGTTGCGTCAGCAAGAACGTTAGCATTGCAAAAAGCAGATACTATTTTACTTCTTGGTGCTCGTTTGAACTGGATTCTCCATTTTGGAAAGCCGCCCAGATTTGACGCTAATGTGAAAGTCATTCAGGTAAGCTGTTCACTAAGTGTGTTTGTGCATTAGTCCCTGTGAACATAGTCATTGTTTAGCTCAATTTTATTACTGGAAAGGGTTTCACACATGAAAGTCATGGCTATGCGAAGACCAATTGCAATGGTTAGTGATTGAGATTTGATAAATTAATGTACTCCAATTCACCCTTTAAGTTGAAATATTTTATGGATATTTCCTTTTTTTTTAAATTACGTTTTTGGGAAGTGATTTCTATGCAAGAGTTTAAGTTTTGATACAAAATACCCATGAAGTTGCACATTCATGAGAATTTGCAGTCAAAGAGACCATTTTTGGAAGATTAACCAGACACCTTATAAAATCAGTTTTTTTATTCATATTTTTGTGTGAGCCATTATGCTATTTTTGAGAAGTAATGTTCCTTTCTGCTGAATTATTTCTGACTAGCTGATCAGAGACTACTTCTTATGACTCTTTGACTCGTCATACTTTGAGTCAAAGCCAAATAAGTTTCTGGACTTTTAGAATGCAAAGGAAAATCACTTATCTATAGTTAAAAATTGAATGTAAAAGCAAGAATGAAGATGACGGAGTTTCTGTCTCACTATAAAAATGTGCAACTTATGTGGCGTAGACTCTAATCGGATTTACTTTCAATAGACCAAGATGTACTTCATATCCAATTTCAACCTTTTGCAGGTTGATATTTCTCCTGAAGAACTGCACAACAGTGTCACTGCAGCAGTGGGCATTCAAGGAGACGTTAAAGTTTCTGTAGATCTCCTCGTGAAGAGCTTGGAGTCCTCCAACTGGAAGTTTGATAAAAGTTCCTCCTGGTGGAATCAGCTGAAAGCAAAGTGTGCAAGTAACAAAAGCACCATCGAGGTACAGTGTGAAATTAGGAAATCAGTTTATATAGACTCTGAACCATATTACCAGACTTCAGAGACTTGACATTTTTCATCAACTGATTTTTGGTCAAATCTCGTCCTTTCAAAAGAATCACTTAACTCAGTCTTGTGCATCTAAAATTATTTTGTTGGTAGGGTTTCGGGAGAGATTAGGAGTGTCACAAGAGCAGTACTCACAAGGAGTGTTAAAGACCACCGCTCTACATCTGATCCTTAATGAAAAAAAGGTCCTTGGATCATTTTTCAAGAAATTTTCTCAAGTCAGATCCTAAACTCAAATTTAATCGAAGGAATGTTTTAATTCAAGCCTCACTCTTGAGATAAGTGACAACTTTAAGACCTATCATAGTCCTTAACTCAATGGTAAGGACCAAATCTTTCTAACTTACTGTGAGCCATCGCTCAAGTAAACATATATATATGAGGGTGGATTTTAGCTAATAGAAGAAAATGGTTCTGAAAAAAAGTTGGTAAGTGATTTGGCCACATCACGCTAAAGACTACTTTCCTGTTATTTTAGAGCTCCATACTATAGGAATTTAATTACGTGCATCGCAATATCTTTAAGATTATGTATAGAAATGAGACTTGAAAGTCAGAAAAACTACCATCAATGTTAGTATGGTGACGCTTACTGTTTTGGCTTTGAAATGATTAATTCAGCTTAGTTGTGATATTCCAATGTACTGATTGAAAGCACTAGGTATAGCTACCTAAAAAAACCCAAAAAATTGAAACGCCGTTCGATAAAACAAAAATTAAAGAGTCAGAAAGCCAAATTTATTCCTAAATTGCAAGAATGACTTGCATTATTTCTCTCTGTGTGTCATAAAAGCAGATGCATGCTGTTCTGGAACTATTATTTGTGAAGAAGTCTTTGTACGAAAGTGGTTTGAAGTTTAAGAATGGGCTTATATGTTATCGAATAATTGCTTAAAAAGCGAGCGTCACCAAAACTGACCAAAAACTACCAAAATTCGATGTCAGCTTCCCTTAGCATTTTTTTAGATCCTGTCCTCAACTGACAAACTTCACTCTCATAGGTTGTTTTGAATATAGCGTTGTAAATGTAAACTTGCTTATAGTGAATAAAATATTTGTTTATTTTTTCAGAAAATGGCTGAAGACAAGACAGTACCTTTAAATTACTACACTGTTTTCAAACACATTCAGGAAATCATTCCAGAAGGTAACTATATTTCACCCTTGGTATCTCCACTTCATTCCATGCAAAATTTTATCCATTGAATCCGAATATTTTTGGCATTTTACACAACTCATAGTTGTATCTATGGATCATATTTTTTTCACTCTGAAGTAGTTCCATAGTGCATATGTAATAAAAATGGAGAAGATCTCAGAATCTAGAAAAAAATCGAATTTTTAGAGAGTGCTTTCAGTACTCTTGATATAATTGTTAAAATATTCGACACTTTTTTGTCCCTGCTCAATGCAATAACCATTACTTAAATAATCTTGAAAATGAAGCATGCCTAATTTTTTGAGGCTTAAACTTTTTTGTGGAGAATTACTTCGAACAGAGCGGCCTTAAAAAACTTGTTTGCGTCTTTCTCTGTGATAATGGGGGTATCTTTATAGGATTTATTGGCCAGCTATTTAAAATACTGGCTATTCTCAGCCTTTTAATGTCCCCTGCTTCCCTTTGTTGAATTTCTTCTCTAAATATACTTTTCTTCATTTATAGATAGCATTATTGTCAGCGAGGGTGCAAATACTATGGATATTGGTCGCACAATGCTTGCAAACACACTTCCTAGGCACCGACTTGATGCAGGTATGTCTGAAATTTTTTGAAAGAAATCTTTAAAAAATCAAGACCAAGAATACCAAACGGATAAGCAAGTACATCATCACTAATCACTATCAATGTCTCATGACTTAGAAAAACACTGAATGTTTTTAACATTATACATTTTACTTACTTTCCTTTGATGTTGAGATAAGTTGTTTATTTTGAGACTAAAATCTTCATACATAAGAATCTGGAGATTGGTGAAGTCCAGATCCAACACTTTTTATCAGTTTTCTGGATTCTGAATCAGAGCACTCTTTCAAAATGGACGGTTAATTTTCAGTAATTAAATTTATGCAGGAACTTTTGGGACCATGGGTGTTGGTCTTGGATTCGCTATTGCCTCTGCTCTGTGGTGTAAGGAATACGCCCCTCAAAAAAAAGTTATTTGTGTAGAAGGTGATGCAGCATTTGGCTTTTCAGGAATGGAAGTAGAAACCATGTTCCGGTAAGAGTTTATCCTCTGTCCTTATGCTTTATTCTACAATGACTGTAAGCAAGATCTTTGAATCTTCAAATTTTAATTTCTCAATGCAAAAAGTGTAAAAAGACTGCATATATGTACCATCCATTCTCTCTAGCTTGCTTAGGCCAGCCACAATCCTTCCAACAATGCCACAGTTCCTGTTGCTGTTATTATGAAAAAATTCTGGAAAGTTCTAGAAAGTTCCAGAAATACTATGGTTCATTACCTAGTGAAAATTTTAAAATGTCAGAGAAAATTCCAGAAAGTACCAAAGAGGATGCGGGAAGAATCTCCTTAATCAGCCATGTGCCGCACGGTCTAATCTGTTCGAGTCTACATTGAAAGAGGAGGGGAAGAATTTTAAAGGAACCATGCCTGAATGGTGGCGCTGGAAAGAGTGTCAAGGACAAAACAGCGTGGAAGGGCAAAGGACTTAGTACAAGGGGGGAGGCGGCTGCACGGTGCAAGAAAAGACACTTGTGCTGGGTTGCGCAAGGAGATGCATGGTGTGTTGTGTAAAGGAATAGTATGTTTTTAGCGCACAATTTTTTGGGTACGGGTTTGCCCTGCAACTTTGTATTTTTTTGGGAAGGTGGCTGCAGGTTTTACCCGTTGAATGGAAATTTTTGCAGAATTTTAAGTAGACTTAATTCTGCATAGAAAAAAAGGTAGCTACATTTCAATCTTGCAAAATTTCCTCTTGAAATTTGTAATCTTTTCAGGAAATAATGGAGCTTTCTAACTACAAATTTCATTGATTTCGCCTCTGAGTATGGGGAAAAATCAGCAAAATTTTTGATGAGAATTGCTTTGCCACATTCTTCTGTAAAAATGAATTTTTTGAGTCTATTTTAAAATCTAAGAAATGGAGAAACGTTCTTTTGTTCGAGAAACGATGCTACACAGAAGCGGTTGTAGCTTGAGTTAATACTAAGCTAGAGGCTAGAGACCCAGGATTTTTTAAATGGCCAGAATTGGATCTCCTACAAAATATCTGAGAAAATTGTTGAATTTTTTACGTGAAAATTTTATTTTTTTGAGCCTTTTTGATTACTATTTGGGATCTATAAAATAATAAAAGTAAAAAATAAAGATGTTTAAACCATTATCAAAAAAAACTGGAAGTCTTATACGTCCTCTTTCACAGAATTTGTATGAAAATGGAAACTGAAGGAGATACACATTGTTTCAAAGCAAGAATGGCAAGCCATTTCCGAAATGAAATTGGAATTCAATTACTCCAATGCTTTCTATCTCATTTTTTTTCTTTCTTTTGTCTTGGTGCAGTTACAACCTTCCAGTGGTCATCATCATAGTAAATAATAACGGTATATATTCAGGATTTGACTCAGATGTGTGGTCTGACATTCAGGGAGATCGAGAGGACCTTGCTCTAAAGTAAGTAACTGTTCAGTTTTTTCCTGTTTTTGCACCATTCTGTTTTATTTTGCTATGAATTTTCAGGGAAAACGCATAGAGACAAGTTGTAACAAAAGTATGTTTAAATTGAGATAAAACATGTTTGCAAGTCATGCATAAAAATCCTCCTTGGACCGACCAAGATTCTTATGGCATTTTGTCAATGAAAATATTGTAACGTCTCTGGTTTTTTTTAAAAAAAAAAATTAAAAGCTAGAAGGAACACAAAAAAGTGGCAGTTTAACATATCTCAATTGACGCAAGACAAGTAATCAGGAAAAGAAAATGTGAGAGTTTATTTAATTACTTTATACCAAGTACCATCTCCAGGAGGGATATCAGGAAAAATGTCAGTGAAGAATCATAAACAGACACATCCTGTTCTAGGTATGGAAAGAGCGCTGAAGTTTTTTTTATTCACGAACTCTGCTAACACATTTAACATGAAGAGACGAAACTGTGAAATAGTTCTGCCTTTCCTTCTTCTTTTGTTTTTAAAATCATTCATCTGAAATTTTATTTCGCATAACTTTCCATAGGCTGATTATTATTATTACTTATACTGTAATGAAAATCACAGTATGCGTTGTTACAATTAAGACTGTCAGCAATTGGAAAATGGATGATTCAGATGATCAAAGTTTTAAAACAAAAATTGCTGTACAGAAAAACAAATTTTGCTCTTTATAACATTCACTTTTTTCCATAGCTACGGTATCAAAACTATTAATTCTATAATGCTGTCACAGACAAACAACACTCCTAGCTAATTTCTTTATATCTATTCTTTTCTAGAAGGTCCTGAAACAGAATCAGCCCAACAACATTTAAATTATCCAACCTCTTATATTTTACTTGCTAAACCATACCTACAGTGCGCCTTATTCTACCTTGAAATTGTGTGGATATATTCTTCATAAAATGAAAGAAATTCACCCCAAGTTTCAAGGCATTGTGTCGCCTAGTATTTAGTTTATAAAATGAAACCTCTGAGGAAACAAGGCAACTGCAGTCAAGTTATCCAATTATTTAAAGACTGTTAATGATCACAAACTGAAAAATTTACCCGGGCAAGTAAGGATGTATTTTCTAGAATACACCACATTTCAAGTGAATCCTTCTGGAATTTCTTATCTTTATATTTTCAGGAATCCTCCACATGCTTTGACTGCCAGTGCCCATTATGAAAGGTTGGTGGATGTATTTGGGGGCAAAGGATTTTATTGTGTCACCATTCCTGAATTGCAAGCAGCTCTAAAGGAAGCTCTGACGGTAACAATTTTAAATCATCCTACTCATTGTCACTGTTCAAATTTCACACCACATTTTTTAGAGCAATCTACAATTTTTCAGAGGAACCAACACTGATTTTTTTGTAATGTGTGTAAAGTAAAATTTGTCGCAATCTCCAGCTCCAATTTTCCTTGCTCCAAAAAAAGATAAATTGTACAATTCAAGCCTAAATACTCCTAAAATCAGGGCGTTTTGCTATTCTTTCTAAGTTTTCAGAAAAAGAGGGAGAGACAAAAACAAGGTTTTTTAAAAGAATTGGCTTATGTGCTCATGGATTTCCTTACGAGATGCAGACTTGAGCAGTTTTGCATCCTTGCAGGTTAGGTCCGGTTTTTGTAACAATATCTATTTTCTAGATTCTGAGATTAAAATTAAGTTTGAATATTTCCTTTTTTTTCAGATCACAAATGGCCCATCGATAATAAATGTCATGATAAATCCGTCAGCTGGAAGAAAACCACAAACTTTTGGTTGGTTAACGGAATCGAAATTGTAAACCTTAACTGGCCCCCAATCATTCTATTCATGGTTTGGGAACACAATCGGGAAAGTTGGAGCACTTACATATTTCAAGGTGGAAGTTTTAAATTTACTCTTTTCCATTATTCAGTGTCAAAGATTTCCTCCCTTCACCGCGAACTGAGAAACTGTTTTATGCGAATTTGTAAAAGAAGGTTGAAGGACAGAGGAATATAAAGACATTGCCAAAGGGAAAACTTAAAAAACTACTAACAATGGGGGTTCTATCAAGTAAGGGTATTGTGGGATCTAAATGGCCCCAAAAAAATCTGAGCTCCAGCTACACTCCTCAGCAGCCTAATTTTCTTGTTGAATTCGGCAACATAGGAACTTGGCCGTCAAGTATATTGTATAATTTTATCCAATTTATAAGATTTAAGCAACAAAACTCGATTCTTTGATATACATTGCTGATTCATTGCTATCTTGCTTTATAGCATGGGTATTAAAAATGACAAAAGAAGTCTTTGCATACTGCATGTAAAGTGTGCTTACTATCGTAATCGTAATGGTTTGTCAGAAAATGTTATTATATGAAAGACTGATTGTGAGCATAGCATTAGTCCTCTTTAGCCTTGTACCACATACTTAATCATCTTTGGTTGAATTCGTGACAATTTTATTGTGAGCAATCTATTTTAACAGGCAAAAATAAGTAGAAAGAGTTTTCTTGGTAAACTTTTGATTTATTCTCAGATATCTCGTAATTTCTTAGATCTCTTAGGAATCGGCAAATGTACCAAACCTGCCTTCTTGCAGATTTTCAATTTTCTACATTCTTCATTTTCTGTATAAAATATTTGGACAAATGAATTTTTTCAATTTTAATAATAGAAAATAGTAGGAATAAGAAAATACAAAACAATTGCCATTTAAGCTTAGGGAACAACTATCTGTAGTTCATTTATTACTGTGATTTTTATCAAGATTAACACAAGAATAAATACAGTGTAAGCAAGTTTTTGTGATACTAGCACCAGAGCATTTAATTACAGTAAGACCTCGAATTATCGGATCGCGATTTAACGGATTCCGCGATTTAACGGATTCGGCCTCCGGTCCTGTGAAATCCGATGAATCAAGGTCTGATACTGTATTATTATTATACCTCATAGACTCCAATAAGTATTGCAATCAATGTTTAAATTACTCCTTACATTGTTTTACACTTTTATAAGTTGTTGATTTACGCTGTTTTTTATATAAATATATTTTATCATTTTTTAAATGTCTGTGTCTAGTCAATACATTGATAGAATTGGAAGATGATCTGGAAGTGTTATCACAGGCTAGAAAAAATCATTCTTACTTTTAAATTAGAATTCGTGGCTCATACCAAGAAATATATCATGTGACGAAATAATTTTCATTTTGTGGCATTAAATGACACTGGTTAGTGCAGCATGAAGTTGTTCTCAAAACCTACATTCAAGAGGCACCAACTGCCAGTGTGACAATCTGTAACCATATTGATCAGTGCTTCAGATGTTTAAGACTAAGCTACAGTTTGTCTAAAATGTAACAAGATATTCCTCCAAGTATGAACAGCATTCCAAGACAAGTTCCTGAAAAAGCAATGAGAGAAGAAAGGTGATAGGTAACTTATAGAAGGTGCAGAGGAGATGGCCCTAAAGGTGAGGTAATGATAATATGTACAATTCAATGAAAACAATTGAGCTTCAAACTGGACAGAGCATCGGTGATTTTACCAATGGCATCAGAAGTCAGTATAAAACTTAAATTCTCATTACAAGGAGGAAAATCTCAATTGAGCATTTTTTGCTCATTGTTGCACTACACAGTAAATATATCTCTTAAAGGGAAAATTTTGCTTGAATAAGTTGAAATTTTAACAAATGTCAGCAAAATCACCAACACCGTCTGAACGACTTGTACGTCTAACAAAAGTTAATTTTGGCTAGGAACTTGTGAAGAAAATTCTGTATTCAAGGTCTTTTTTAACCAAACCAGAATTTGTTCCTTTAGACTTCAATCAAACTTCAAGATTTTTACCCGAGCTAATGATTAAATGAATAAATGAGTAGCAAAATTAGATAAAAAATCTAAAAGAGCAACTTCATATTAAAAGTTTATTGATCCTCAGAAAACAATCTTATAATTAGCCTGTCAACGAGAATTTGCGTAAGCACCATGGACAAAAAATTTGCTGTACAGTTTTATTCTTCCTGTTCTTATTTAATTTCGTGCAAAAGGGTACAAATCTGGGCTCAGAAAGTAAGAAGCTCATTCTTTGGTACTTACTTGAATCGGGGGTTTCTTCACCTATCAGCCATCCAGTTAAAGCTGTGCTGATGAATGTTACAGAATTGGCAATGGGCACAGCCAAAGATAGATCTGTAGTGAAGAAACGGGGCAAAAGCAAAATCAGTAGATCGTTCGGAAAAAATTAACTTCAGAATTTACTAATTAGCTCATTAATAAACTGAAATTATCACTTTTTTTCAGGGCAGTGGTCAAGAGAATCTTAAAATTCAACAGTTCTCGCCAGAACAATCTGAGGATTGCTTCATTAAATGTAAACGTTCATGGGAGAGATCTTACTTAATTTGTGGAAGCTATTATTTCAGGAGAGAGATTTTGATATATTGAAAAATCAGAATAGAGAATTTGCAGGTGTCTGAAATTTGATGAATTTCGTGTTTAAGTGGAAACTACTGAGTGAACTGAACACGAGAATACCATTGGTTCACGAATTGAGCAATTATCGGAGAAGATATGACAAAATGATCCATTCTTCTAAAATACATGTGTTTAAATGTGAAAGCCGCCAGCAGACGTCACTAGGCGGTGCATTTTCTCACTTTTAAATCTATTTTTATACCATTTCCCAAACCAGAAAAAAATCATAAAATATACTGTGAAATCAGCTCTTTTAGCACTTTCAGATGAGGCAATACAAAATTTGCCTGCAAATTCTCCATTTCTTCGATCACTTGCGCTTGGTTAAGGGCTGTAGAGATCAGGCACAAATGAAATCAATCGTCATTTTGACTGCTAAACTATGTGTTCTCACAATAAACTTGATGCACAATGAATGATAAAATTAAATGATCAAAATAATTAGACTTGATCAAGCCACCATCAAGGCCTGTTTGCAAGTGCTCATCCTTGGTAGGAGCTATCGATGGCTAGTGAACCATCGAGACCTGTACCAATTTGGTAAAAATCTTTGGACGATAACTAAAGTAATGTTGAAAAATGTCCATCCTCCAGTCTTTAATTCTTCTTTTTAAGAGTTATGATGTATCCATGTTCAGAATTTAAACTTAAAGTGACATGATAAAAATACGAACATGTTGCAATTAAAATTTTTAAAAAAAGGACTAGTATGACTTTTAAGCAGAAACAAGGTAATCAACGATTTACCTGAATCTTGAAGTGCAAAATAGTACAGAACCGATCCAGTTTGATTTATTAAAAATGGGAGCATATACTGAAAGAAAAAATACACACAAAAATCATGGCAGAGACTTCAGCACTGTTTGCACTCAAAAGAAAGAATTCTTCTCCATTAAAATACATGGCATAATATCTCCAAATAAATTCAAAGCAATAATCAATTGCACTGTACTCAGTTGTTGGTCATCTTTAACTTCTTTAAGGGGCTTAGAAGATTAATTACCGGCTCAACGCTGATAATTTAAAGTAATTGACATCACTAAGTCCCCTGGCTTTTTTTGAAAGTTTTTTGGGTAGATGTATCACACATCTTCAGAAGTATAAATATCTGAGTAAATTTTACGTTTGATCCCTTGCATGTGCAGCATGAAGGATCTACACTGCAACAGTCCCCAATTTATGATGTGCAGGGGCTTGGAGTGTATTTTCTGGGCAAATGGTATTGAAGTTACAGAAAGAACAACGAAGAGAAATTTTTTTGTAAAAGTGCAAGGAAAATTGTTCATACCCCTCCAATTAAAATTAAATGGTTGTCTTTGCCTAGACGATGAGAGATGGGGAAGAACTGATAATATTTTGGTAGAAAAAGGAGCTGTAATTCCGAATTTATTTGAGGAAATCACTAAATGCAATCCTTGGACGACCATAAAGCAAACCCATTTTAAGTTTTACCAACTTATGGTTCAAAGAAAATTACAGATTTGAATTTCAGCCCTAGCTTCCTCAGATTACTTATTATTTTCCTCAAACAAAACTGAGAAAAAAAAAATATAAAAAAAATAATGAAATGTGATTTGAAATAAGAAAGTACCTTCCAATTCAGCAGCAAAAATTTAAATTCAAGAAGAGTATTAAGTATCCATGTTCTTCTGCTTGATTTCTTTGAGACTCTATCTAGTCCTTTCGACCCAATCTTGATCAGGGGGTTTGTGACTCCCCATATTGAACCCACTAGGATTAATTTAATGAAAGCTAAACAGAAGCAGAAACAAAAGAATGAAATCCATTATTTTTTGGCTCAGGAAACATGCTTTGCTTTTTATGTAGATTTGAAAAGAAATCACCCCTTTTATGGATACAGTATACCCATTTCGGACATAAACCTCTAAGCTTCGTTTTTCACTCGCAGGGATTTTTGTTGCTACTTCCCATTTTCGGAAAACCATGTTTATTTAATGAAACAATATTTTTCATCTTCAGAGTTTTGAGTTTCCTAGTCTTTCTTAACTAGGTATCGCAAGATTGGGGCTATAATTCTTTGCAAAAACGTCTGTAAAATTTCAAAATGGTTGCGCCTGGGATGAATTTACGTTTGACTCAAGGATTGAAAACAGTTTGTTCTTCTTTTATTTAGATTTATAAGGGGAAAATATTTATATTTATTTACTTGTGTGTTTAAAGATTCACCAAGGTTCATGATAGGATATCCTAAACTTTGGAGAAATAATTATTCCTTATAAGAAGAAACACTTTTGATAATGAGAAGGAAGTCATTAGAAAAACTACGCAGATATGGTTTTTGTGAAATTTAAAATAAAAATAAAGTTAAAAATTTTCGAGGTTTATTGATAAAAAAAACAGAGGCAAGGAACTTAAATTTAATCTACAATTCTTAAAAGTAAGTAAGTATTTTAGAAAGTCCAACATCAATATAATAAACATTCAACGTACCTACAAGTTTTCATCTTTTTAAAAGAAAGAGTTGATTGAAGTAGAATCAACACATATTAAAATGAGTCCATACACTTTTTTTCTATGCTTCCTACTTCTTTTGATTTTACATTAAAATTCACTATTCTTTTTTCTTTTTCAAAATCGAACTAAAATTAGAGAAGGAATTTTAAAATGCTAAAGTCAATATCTATGCTTGTTTACCATCAATGTATGGTGTGCATATGCTTTTCGATCAAAACTTAAAACTTGTGAGGGTTTTCCTCTGTGGATCAAATTGTTCAAATAAGCCCAAATAAGACTCATAAAGTAGAACGAAAGAAGCTGTAAAAATGAGCATACACGGGACAAGGGACCTTAATTATTCTGAAAAACTCAACGAGTGTTTTGCCAATTCTATTGTGTAATGTTTTACACAAATTTTGGGGGCAAATACTACCCAAATATATTCAGCTCCACTCAAGATGTGGCACTTTAAAGTCTGCAGCTAAAAAACTACTTGTTCGAGCTAACTTTTTCTCCAGTTTTGCTTGGAATTGAAATCCCTTTTCCTGTTGAAAGTTGCACTTATCAGAATGTTACCTGGATTCACTATCATTAGCAATGCTACTCGTGGAACCTTACTGGCTCACTCGAGGAAAATTCTTGACCACAATTTTGACATAGAACTTGTGAATCTTTGGTGTTTGACAATAAACAATTCCTACAAAAAAAGTGGCCACAAGGCAAGCGGTACAAGGTATCAAAAATCACACAACTTTGACATTGTTTTTTCTGGGATACACTGCCACTGGTAGGATGTCTGAATGATGGTAATCCTGCTAGTGTTTTTCGTAGAATGTCATCTACATTGTGAGATGTTGATGTGAACACGCTTTTTGACAAGCTCTGACACGAACTGTCACTATCATCACTGAGAACAATTACTTCATCACCATCAGCATCATCGATACAAATTATTTCTTCATTTGAAGATGCTTTACTGCAATGAGCAGTTTTTTCCTTTTGGCATGTAGAAGTAATACCCTTGAGATTAATTTTCTCAGGTGCAGGGTCGGAAGCAGGAAATGGCTGTTTTACATTTTTTTGCAATAATCCTGCATTATGGTAACAGTCAGAATCTTCAGCGGAGGATGTACTTTGATGATTAAACAGATTGGGAGAAATATTATTCTTTTGCTCCAACTGACGATATATTTTCTTGACACTACTACTATCACTATCATTACTTAATTTCCTTTTACCAACAGTCCGAGAAGTAAACCGTAATGTCTCATGATGAGAATTATCATTCAAAAATTTGTCTATCCTCACTTTCAGCTTGGAGAAGAAAATTGGTTTTCGTTCTTCTGTGAAAATCTCACCAGTGAATGGATCACTGGGAACTCTACCACTCTGTGCATCAACTTTTGCACATTTTTCTAAAGTTGAGAGGTCGATAATTTTGCCAGATGGTAATAACATTGGCATAGTCATGATACTGAATGTAATCACATCCATGAATTCCTCAGGTATTACTAACTCAGATTCATGATGTTCTTGTTTGGTTTGAAGAGAGCTTTGACTTGAAACATCTGACTGCTGGGTCTTAGTAATAGACAAATTATCCTTCCATAATGCTTCAACCTTTTTTTTACACTCCAAATCACAATTTGGACTAGGATGGCCCCAAATTTCGATTCTTTTCAAAGACGGCACCGACGAATTTTGAGTTTTAGTCACTTTGATTGATAATGTTCTTACACTGGTGATCAAGTTTTGAACTCGGCTAAATAAAAAATGCTTTGAAAATGGAATATTAATGGCACTCAAAACACCATCAGTCTTCTTTTTCTTAGAAAAGACAATGCAGTCCTCTGAATTACGAATGTACCCTAAACCTATGAACTGATGTTCACTTATGGCAGTGGTTGATTTTTGAGATGCATAAATTTCAAAACCTATAGACTTTTGAATTCCTACTCTTGGATAAATAATGATATGACTAAGATTTACATCACAGATTAACTTGACTGTTACAGTCATTGGTGGTTTGATAAAGTAGTCGGCGAGCAAACCTTTCTGCTGTAAAGGATCAACCGCAATGAGATTTTTAATCTCATACCCATCACAGCAAACTGTGTCACATGAAATCTCAGGATTTAGACATGGATGACAAAAGTTAATAGTCATGCTTCAAGTAACTAGGAGATAACTTAAGCCCTTTAAGTAATGTGAACGATGTTTGTGAAATTTTAAAAGCACCATGAGGAGTGCATATCATTGGTTTCAATTTTTAAAAAATTGTTCAGTAGAGAGAAAATGACAGGGAAAAAAGCTTGACAGTCAAAATTGAAATGTATAAAGTTTATAAAAATAGTTGTGATTAGACCAGATGCATACTCAGCATGAGAGACTGCGTCAACTCCAACACTTGAAAGACATGAATTGCGATGTTTTACCTCTTGACAATAAAAATTATCCTTGTCCTGAAACAGAATTCAAAATTAAACCCTCGATCATTATGATGCTTTGATGAACAGAAAGATGATTATTTTGCTTTGATAAACCACATGAAAAAGCTGGAGGGTTGGCATGGGTTTGTATTCCCCTTTTTTAAAATTGAAGATATGTGGAATATTTGTGGCTTTTTAACCCAAACTTCGGTGAAACCTTGGTTGGCCAAGGAAAATGAGCTGTCGGATATTATATACTTTGTATGTTCTCTGGAGTCTAGTGATCTAGCAAAACCCACGAAAGCAAAATGCAATTTCAGCCACTAAAGACACACTTTTCGGAAGTTCACTACACTCTTCCTATGGTGCGCAGGAAACGGGATACATACATGTGCCCAGTAATTCTATGAAAAATGAGGGCAGCAGCTATTAACTTCCTGATAGCCCATGCAAAGAAGACATGTGAGACGATGCCTGTTTCAATTTAATTTAAAATTAATTTGAAACAAATATAACTATAATTGCTTACCACTGCGGATGTTGGATTTCTAAACTGAAAAATACCTTATAATAAAGATATACGTAAAAAACGGAGTTGGCTTGAACTTAGAATAAGTGCAAAATAAACGATATCATAATTGCGTTCACTGAGGCTACTTTTAATTATTCAAGAATGAGTTCACTTGAGGATTCTAACTGAGGAAGCAGAGCATGAAATAAATAGATGTTGAGATAAAATATTAAAGTAATGGAAATGGGAAGGAACACTACATACTTCTTATCAAATTGACAAAAATGATAATGAACAAGCAAGGTTATGTTTATATTCAAAATGTAAACATAAACATAACCCCAAAAAAATTTGAAAACGTGGTGTGAAGCCGTGCGCCGTTTCATTTTCATCATTTTATCTAATCGGAATTGATTTGTTCTTCTATGCTCTTTTAACTTTTGCAAAGAAAATTAACAAACTTCGTTGCTCTTAAATATCTATGCGTATCAAGTATGAGCAAATTCAACTTTGAAAGATTCATGTGTAAATTGTGCTGCTGGATCAGGTTGTTCTGCTATTGTCAGGCTTTCAATTTTTAAGTCTCATCTACCATGGACCTGATATCAGACCAAGGACTGCGTGTTGATGGAAGACGAGCTGGTGAACTTCGCAGAATTAGATGCAAATTGGGTGTCTATGACCAACCTGACGGTAGTGCATACTTGGAACAGGGGCATACGAAAGTGCTAGCCGCTGTGTATGGACCCCATCAAGTGAGCAGTTTCTTTATATTTAGTACGTAAATAGATGTGTAAGATATCAGGTGGTTGTGTTTGCCCCTGTTAAGAAAAGCATGGAGTAACGAAAGATTCAGTGACTGCTCTGAAAGCCTAGGTTGCTGCAAGATGTCATTGGCCCACGAGGCTAAAATTAGTTGACAGATCCCTGGTTTTCAGGCCGTAATGCAGAAGATCCAGTCCCCCTCTTTAAGGTGATTCGATAGACGCCATATTTTGTGTCAGAACGGCATGCGATGTATCGTATCAATTGGTTCCATTTTTTCAGCTACTCGTCATTTTTCTCCAATTTTGAGATCGCAATTCTGTTGTCAGGAGATTAAAGCACTCACTTACCAATTTTAACAAAGAAATTCAACGTAGTAAAGGCGTGTTTTTTTAGAGAGAAAACATCGCATTCGATACTGATATCAAAACTGCACTCGAATGCGATATTTTCTCTCTTACAAAACAACGCCTTCATTATGTTGAATTTCTTTGTTAGAGTAGGTTAGTGAGTGCTTTAGTTTCCTGACAACAAAATTGCGATCTCAAAATTGGAGAAAAATGACGAGTAGCTGATAAAATGGAACCAATTGATGCGATATATCGCATGCCGTTCTGACACAAAATATGGCGTCCATCGAATCACCTTAAATGAGCCCAAAGGCAAATATAGCCATGCGAATCCCAACAAAATATAATAGAAATGCCTTGGGCATGCATGTACAGACTGTTCGACTAAATATTTCCTTCAACTGCATTTCAGTATTTGCTGAAATCTTTAGTATAATTGAGCAGAAGGGCTGCATTCGCAGTAAATTTGCAAGGGAAGGTCCTTTCCAACATGTCTTATAACTTTCTGTAACAGTGGTGTCAGACAATGACAGAAACTTGTTGTCCTAAAAGAATTTTCTGAATGTTACATGAGATGATAAATATTTTATTTCACATTTTCTACCGGTAATTATTGAAGGAAGCCTGACAAACTTGTTTTTTTTCCAGATTCGTGGGAGCCGTACAAAAGCATTACAAGATTCTGTGGTTATTAACTGTCAGTATAGTATGGCTACCTTTAGTACAGGAGAGCGGAAAAAGAGGCCTCGAGGTGATCGCAGATCTACTGAAATGACAATGTTACTGAAACAAGCTGTCTCTGCCGTCATCAAAGCAGAGCTCTATCCACGATCTCAAATTGATGTTTTCTTGGAGGTAAGTAAAACAAACTTTCAAATTTCCTGTATGAATGATTTGAGCCAGTATTCTTTCAGTCATAATTTGCACAGCAGCAATCAACCCATTCGCCTCATTTGTCGAGTATACTCGTCAGCGCGCGTCTGGGACATAGCTCAGTTGACGAGTTGATTCGCGCCATCTGTCAGTGGTGCTATGCAATTGTTTTGGTCGTGTTTTATTTGTTTTTTCGATAGATGGCATCTCAAGCGTAGCAATGCTTACGGATGGCGCGAGTTAACACATCAGCTGAGATATGTCGTAGGTGTGCATTGACAAGTACACTCGTCAAATGAGGCAAACGGGTTAAACCAAGTCTCACAAGAAGAGCAAAAGTTTAGAAATTCCCAAGCCATGCTAATATATTTTGAAAATTTGAACAGAAAGTCAGGCTCTACATATACCGTTCGTAACAAACCTCAGTACCTGCCTGACATTTTGTATATCTTTTACTTCTTTTCTTCAGGTTTTACAAGCAGATGGTGGGAACTATTGTGCTTGTGTAAATGCAGCAACTTTGGCATTAATAGATGCTGGAATTCCTCTACGTGAGTACGTAGTTGCATGCACTGCCAGTTTAGCAAATGGAAAAGTGCCCCTTGTCGATATCAGTCATTTAGAAGAAACGATGGGTGGACCTAATTTAACAGTTGCAGCCCTTCCCTTATCAGGACAGGTATTTTCAACATTTTCATATTTTAAATAGTAACCTCTTCCTTAATAGTAAATTTCCAAAAAATCGTCAGGAGATTTCTGTGGTCTTCAAAAAATGAAATATCATACCAAAACCTTTTATCTTTGATATGAAACTAGGTGGAGCCCATTTTCTTTGCGCACTAAAAGTTTGGATTGTTTGCAAAAGAGAGGGGAAGACTCTTGTAAAATCTATGTTTATTTGAGTTATAATGGACCACTTGCAGGGGTACTTGAAGAATTAAACTTTTTTAAGACATGTCTCCTCATAGAAATTTATAGCAGAAAACATTAAATGTACTAAAAACTTCTCAAATACTCCTGTCAGTTATAAATTTGCATTAATCGTTTACGTTAGAATCAGCGTATTCAAACTTTCTGCTTTAGAAAAAACCAAAATTAACACAGGTCAAATGAGGAATCGACCGGAATTTCATCCCATTTTTGCAAAAAATTAGTTTTTGTTTCAACTCAATTTTGCCCCCTCTCTAATTTGTAAAACTTATGCACCGCCTGTCAAGGCAAATTCAGTGTACAAAAAAAATTATACCATCATGAAACATACAGAAGTCAGCTAAATGCTCAACTTGACGCGAGTAGAATTGGGTTTCCATGTAACAGGCACCTCCAATTGATGTACCCAAAAAACGCTATTTTGTTCCTAAGGAGCATAATTTGGAAATTTTTCATGTATTTACTTCTTTCTAAGTGAAATTTTAATGAAAAAAAATGTTCTGAGATCCCTAATTTCATACCCTATCCAGCGGTCCATTAGAGGGCAAAATTGAAAGAAAGACAATCAATACTAGTTTATGAGCTATAGTAACCTCTTGATCAAAGTAGTGATGAAATTTTCAGCAAAAATACTTACATAGAGCCTTAAGGCAAAGTTCCTGCCCCGGCCATTATCCCTTAATCATTTCCACCAACTTTCATAGTTGTGAAGATTTTTTGTTAGACGAATTGGGTTTTAATTTGCACATAGATTCTATTGAATATTCCATGCTAAGCTCTTGTCCGAGAATTTATATTTGCAAGTGAATTAGGATTAATAACAAGTGAAATTTTGGTTCCAGATTGCTGTGATGGAAATGTCCCAACGGTTTCACATTGATCATTTGGAAGAAGTAACGCAGCTAGCTCTGCAAGGTTGTAGGGATATCTATAAAATTCTAGACAAAGCTGTAAAAGAGCATCTCTTAGAAACAGGAGATTTTTTCCCACAGTTAGAATCAAATTGAGCTCACTTATATTCTTCAGTGTTTCGCACTTATTTGAATGGGTTGGTTGCCTCTGTCTTGAAATCAAGTTTCGATAATTCACATTCTTTGAGCAGCGAAAAATAGTAAAATTTGTTGCAACATTAAAATCTTTACCTTGCGTTGACGGAGATAACACCCATTGAAAAACATATCAAATCTTGCCATCCACTGCATTATTACAACCCAGGATTTCTTGCACTACAGCCTAGTCAAATACATGTCCTTGGGGAGCAGTTAGGGTATAGGAGAACATCATTGCTCTGTGAAACCAAAATGAGAGGAACCGTGGCTCATACCAATGCGATGGATGACACCCTTATGTAGGAGTATGAAATCATGAATCTTGGTTTTTATAAGGCAATACGTTGGTTAAATTACAATTTAAAAATTTAATAATTGGACTATCTAAAGTTTCAACTGTCAGAGAAATCGGATTTTAGCATGACCGCTTGTCTACTAATTTGTAAGTATTATATCCATCACAAGATTGTGTAAAAAGAAAAAAAATTCTACCGCTCCCTGAGAGACAAAAAAAAAAAAAAAAAAAATCGGATGTAGTCATAATGCTATTTTTTTCTTAGGTTTCCATCTAGCATTTTCCTAACTAATGTATTTACATCCAATGAGAACTGAGAGTCAAATAAAACTTCTCTTACCCGTTGATTTGTACCCTTCTTATTCTTCTCAATTTTCCTAGAGCCATCTTCTCAGGTGCAGAGGTACTAATACATCTCATCAGCAATTTTAACAGATTATTTTAGGCATACCCAAGTAAATTGAAACATGAAAGCAAAAACTAAGTTATTTAGCCGCTCAACTGATGAAAAATTAGAGACCAAGATTTTCTGCTGCCTAAGTGCTTGTTTTTTTCTCATACTCTTCAATGATGCCAGCATTCACTTTGAGCTGTGGCTATGCTGTAATAACTAAAAAGCAACAAGGCTTGACTCTCAACCTACTATGTACTGATATGAGAGAAATGATTTGGTGGATATCAACCATGAAACTTCGAAACTACGTATCTCGGTTTGCAACTTTGCTGACCTCCCATCATACTCTATTTTTTAAGTGGAAAACTACGCAATGACAATTCTTGAGAACCTCCGTGATTTTTCTTCTCCAAGCGAGGAAAATTCTGTGATACATGGTTTGGGAGTTTCTCCATTGATATCTACTATTTGAGTAGTACAGTAGACTCTCTTTTCGTCTCTCTAATTTCTCCGCAACTCAATATCAATTGTAGGAAGTTTAATTCAAGAAAACCCTAAGCTGCATTACCAGATTATGTTCACCTTTTTTTTTTCTCTCTTTTTCCAGAAATCAACATTAATTTTGTAAAAATTATCATTTTGTGAAGGCCCTAGTAAGAGACTGTCAAATACATAGTTCTATGATTTAATAACACTGAATTGAGTTAAATTCACCCCAAATTATGGCAATAATTGGCCTCTGAGCACTCATTCCATCAGTGTTTTCCCCAAAAATCTTCAAAACTTTTTGGACCAATAACGATTTCTGGAAACTCTGATTCAGCATATTATTAATTCATTTCAATCAAAGCTGCATAACTTTTAATCTTTGTAAATGGAGGTGTATGAAGAGTTTTTGAATGAGGATTAATTTTGATTTCGAAAATATGTTGCATTTGAAAAATCCAGCTCAGTGGACGAAATTAAAGTACATGAAATTCTAATAGATCAGCCTACTGACAAAATTCTACATTTACCTGAATCTGAAAGAATGAAATATTATGAACGCAAAAGTGTATCTCCTATGGAAAATAGACTAAAAGCTGATGACTAGTTACAACACATCATCTAAGTGACTTGTCAGGAGTTTTTGAAAGAAAAATTAAACATTATCCAACAGCCATCCCTGAACAATATTTTCAGTTGGGTGACTGTTCAATTGATGACGTTGCAAGGTTTCAAATAAGAAAGAAATTGCTTTCAAGTAATACGCTAAAATAATTTTGATTTCTTTATTCTTAAGAGCCTCTTGTCACTTCCTGCTGTCCAAAACCAGCTTCATTTTGGCGTCAAAATACATGTAACTGGATGCACCTCAAAATTATTTAGAATCGATTTTTTTTTTTTTTTTTTTTTTTTTTTTTTTTTTTTTTTTTTTTTTTTTTTTTTTTTTTT